ATGAGTAAATCCTCGAGGGACACCCTGTAGAATATATAATATTATGTAATAATAAACCATCTGCCTACATTTTATCAATTTTTTATCCATAACTTAAACAACACAATATATAAGATACACCAGTAACTCGTATAACTTGTTGTGTAAATAATTATTTCACCATCATAATATTCATTTTAAGTACAGTGACATAAGTTACTAATTTTTTAACAGTGTAATTCTGTAAAAATTAATTTATGCGTTACCAATATGTTATACGTAACTGTGTACCTTAAGTTTTAGAGTAGATTGATATGCACTGCGTTTTAGTCGGCAAACCTAACCCTATTACTGTTTGCATGTCTTAATTAATGATTATATTCAATTCAGTATTTTTATTGCTAGTAAAAAGGAAATGTAATATTTATGTTTAATATTGTTATGCGCAGTATCTTGTCTATGTTAGAAGACGAACTTTCATTAATCGTTGCTATATTTCGTACCCACAAATATGAGTTTCCAGTTGGCATAAAAATGTATAAACAGGTATGGGTCGATAATGAAAGTCGAAATTATCAGAGTATACTGGTCATCCATGGTTATATGTATAACGACTTAAATATATTAAAATAGTGTATTATATAACAGTATTATTATCAGTAAAAACATTAAATTATATTTTTCGAAATATTTCAGGCAGCAGTGGAAAAGAAATGTATAATATTTTGTAATAAGGTATGTTGTATACTGTAGGATATTATCTATTATACTAAAATATTCTGTACGGACAAAACTGCTGGTGGTCAAAGTGACAAGATATGTATAATATTTTAAGATCATGGTTTCTATACACGCACGCTCACGATTTTATGCCTTCGCTTATAGGTTTGTGGCATACATTGAGTTTTATGTTAAAAACACCTTATTTGCACAGTCTTTGAAAAATGAAATACGGCATTCAACAAAAAATACTGAATAATATCATTAAAATGTTTAAAGGGAAGGGGGCGTCAGTCGCTTATAAAAGTCATCAAGAAATGTTATTTTATTTCATTTATTGTTCAACGTTCACATTATTTTTATTACATTCTAATTTTAATAAAAATGTTTTTTTTTAATAATAGTTTAATAACTATAACAATTCTAGTTATTGCAATTTCGGTTAGGCCTGCAATTTTGCCTAGGCAACCTTCTTTTAAAGACGTTACTTTGGAAGTCAAACGACGTATGTACTAATTATTGATGTATGATGATTGTATTTTTATAATTTTTTATTGTGTTGATATATACCACCAGTAAACTGTAAATTTGTTTAGAATTAGTAAACAAACTGAAATCAACTACAACTATATAACCCTTCAGATTAATAACATGTATGCCATTTATTAGATTTTAATTGTATAGGTATAATAATATTATCTATCTATCTAAAAAAAAAACCAGATAATTCTTTGATTTTGGAGGGAACATTATTATACTTTATATCACATTTGTATAACCTAATATTAGTGTTATATGATATAAATCATTTTCCAGTTATAATGTTATATGTTTTATTTTTAGATTATTGTGCTAGTAAGTAAGCTTTATAATTCATAATAAATAGAAATTTGACTATGATTTTCCAGTTGTTTAAATTAATTAAAAGGATGTATTATATTATGTTTTTTTAAATTATAGTTTAATAACGGGTTTCATAAACAATCGCTATTATTATTTAATAAGTCAACTGTCATTTTTTTTGTACTTCAAATAAGAATTAGTGGCATAAGTTGTTTGTTCATTACAGATAAATGAAACATTATTTTTAATAATTGATTATGTTGCCTTTCTTATTTTCTCCTTGTTATCGAGAACCCAGGAGGAACTGGTGTTGGCTTTGCTTCTCCCGTGGTCTACATCGTTGAATGTATAAAGAAACAAGAGTAGTTTCACAGCAATAGGGATCCTGGAATGTTCCCTTCTCCAGGAAAGTGAACTTTTCCTATTGCTAGGTATGTGTACACCTGGGAGCGGAGATCGGTGAGCTTAAATTTAAAACAAAAAAAAAAAAAAAAAGCTTAGCGTCGTTGGTCACTGCTGTTGTATTTGACCCTGGAGTCCGCCGCCTTGGAATCACGTTCTGTGGATGGTCCTGCGATGGCGTGATAGCCTAACCTAACCTGGTGTCAAGGGATGTAAGAAGAACGTGGGTCGGTGACACATCGGACAGTTGCTGTGCAGCGTGGAATTGTCTTCCACGTCCTTCTTCTGTCCCCAGATTGCATTATTGACCTTGTGAGGATAGATGGTGGTTTAGGTTGGGTCCCTTTCACCTACCCTCTGCAGCTTGTCTCTCTCTCTCTCCTCCTCTTCCTTCATCGTGGTCATATCTTCGATTATCCTGTAGAATAATCTAAAGGTCTGTTCTGCGATTCGTAGGATGGCTTCCTTGTGTTCCTGGTTGGCGGGGAGACCCTTGAAAGCCGGTCCGCAGACGATGTCTGATAGATCCGTGAGGCTTGGGCGACGGCCGACGAGCCCCTCTCGGTTACTCCTGTGTCCAGACCAATGTGAGATCCGTGTTTCGAACAGGGTATAATTGGCAGTGTCGGACTCTCCATCGCATTGTTAGAGGGCCTGCCAATCCAGTACAGGTAATACTGGCAACAGCCGTGGCCCATCAGGGCCTGGGTCATGTAAAATGTCAGGGGTACCATCGGCACGGTTCTGAAGAGCTAAATGCCTACGTCCGGAATTGTCAGTCACGTCCACGACGCTTTGGTCGAGGCGAACCATCTCGCTTGCCACAGAATGATGGTGACTCTCCGCTCCTAGGTTTCCATGGCGTTTTTGGAAGGGAGTGGTGCACTGGGAATGTTCATTCCGCCCAGTCGGGCTCCGATACTCAGTCTCTCCAGGCCGAGAATATCGGCTGGTAGCATGGAGGCCAGCAGCAACGCAGCCTTGTCTGACATTGTCCGGTATGCCCATCGGATGGTGTCAGACAAAGCTGGCATCACCCTAACAAGTTCACTTGTAAAGGTTAGATAAGGTTAGGTTACCAGCTGATCTAGCAGCAAGGTTAGCAGCTGATCTCTGTGGGTGAAAGAGGTTTGCTCTGGTTCTAGCCAACGAGGCTACCGATTGACTCCATACCGTTGTGGCGTACAGCATCTGGCTCTCTACTACCCAGCCGAGTAGCAGCCTCTTCCACTGACTCGGTCCGTTAGTGTTCGGCATGAGCCCAACAAGTGTGGCATCCAATCGGGAGGTCTTTTTCGCAACCATGTCTATGTGTCCAGTGAAGGTGAGCCGCTAGTCTAGTATCACGCCGAGGTACCTTAGTTTTTTGAAATTGCGATCTGGGGACCTCCAATTAACAGGCGAAGGGGAAGGGTAGTATGACCGCCTCCTGGACAATATAACGGCCTCGATCTTGTGATGCGATAGCTCCAGTCAAGGGTTTTACATTCAGGTGTCTATCGCATCGAGGACTGGATTGGCTGCGTTCTCAAGCAGCTGTCCTGTTCTTGCCACACCGATCATAGCTAGGTCGTCCCTAAAGCCGACGAGATGATCTCCGCCAGGGACATCCTTACACATGTCACAGGAGTGAGTGTACGCTGCTTTCCACTATGCTGGCCCGGGGGCGGACCCTGCGGGATGCCACATGTGATTTGCCTTGGGGCCAGTTCTTCCCCCTTGACAGGGTGTCTGTGAGCCATGATCGCAGCATCTCGACCAAGTATTCGGGCGTTTTTATCCTCCTCAATGCGTCGTCTATGACGGGCCAACGTAGTGTGTTGAACGCCTTGATTATGTTACTTTACACGTGAAGTGTCAATATACTTTAATAAGGATAATTGTAAAATGTTTTAGATCTTCTAACAACTTAATGTGGGTTTAAAAGTGAGTTAATTGTACAAATAGGAAATTTTATTTGCATTTAATTATTTTTTTTTAAGTATAATATACATAATAAATATTAGTATAAATAATTATTAATTACTATTGTCCATTGGTTTGATAATCATAAAGTTAAATTATTATTAATTTATTCTATTTAGTTACACAAAATATTTGGAAGGTGAAATTCTTACCAAAATATATTTATTTAATATAAAAATTAGTGTACATTTTGAATAAATTTTTTAACTCAAGATACACCAAACTGATTTCAATAAAAATTCAGGACATATTCACATTAGTATTTAGATGATTTCTGTGAAGTTTGTACGCCGTGCGATAAGTTCTTCCGGAGTTATGGCTTCTTAATGTTTAGCGGTACGCGTTCACTTCGTCCGCCGAATACACAAAGTAAATTTTAACCCTTTTAGAAAACAATAGGTAATCAATGAATGGTGACCAGTTATGCCATAGATGTACTCCAAATAGCTATTATTATATACATCCATGGTATCGTTAATTGGTTTGTTTCCTATTATAAATTACTCTATGTAATTATTGATTATTCTTTAGTTTGTAATATTTATTTCATCATATTTATTTATTCGTATGGCCATATTAATAGATTAACACTACAGATTTATTTTTATTCGTAAAAATTTTTATTTGTAAAAAAAGCCACGACCAAGGCGACAGAATATAGACCGACAATCACGTAATTATATCGCCCAACAGTATTATAGAAGTTCTCAAAGTGAAAATGCACAATTACAACGAAATGTTATTCAACATTTACGAAATGATCATCGAAGTACATCTGCAGGTCCGTCAACAAATCCAGCACCAAGACGAACGTCACGAATTTCGCGTCGTGCACAAGCCATGGAATTCGCTGCATTTCATTACGACAGTGAAATGGATTACAGTAAACATGGTCATTGGTGGAATGACGGTGAGATGTCTACATTGTGCTGCAGCCAAATTTCCAGGTGAAACGGCTGGCATATGTTGTGCTCATGGCAAAGTGAAATTGTCATTCTCCACCTGATCCACTGCACTCATTGATTTTTGGAACATCACCAACGTCCAAACATTTTTTATCCCACATTCAAGAATATAATACGCCATTTCAAATGACTTCTTTTGGTGTGACGAAAGTTAGAAGAGACAGTTTTATGCCGACGTTCAAGGTAATTATTTCATACGGACCATCTTTCGAAAAATGCAACCTGACCAGCAATTATTTTGATATTTTCACGAATTCTGATCAAATGTCAAATTGTATTTCTGCATTGAATGAAGATGATGCAGTCAACTATAAAGTTGAATTTTTGAATTCATTGGAACCATCCTGTACACCGCCACATTTCTTGAATTTGAAGGTCAGCTCATCAATTATTTTACTAAGGAATTTAAATGCACCAAAACTGTGCAACGGCACAAGATTAGCTGTAAAAAGATTGATGCCGAATTTAATCAAAGGCAAAATATTGACTGGCAAAGCGAAGGGGGAATTTGTACTCATCCCACGTATTCCTCTGATACCAACAGACATGCCATTTGAATTCAAACGATTGCATTCCCCGTGCGCATATCATTCGCCGCATCCATCAATAAGGCTCAAGGGTAAACGCTCCAAGTATGAGGTTTGAATTTGGAGGAGCCGTGTTTTTCGCACGGGCAACTATACGTGGCCTGCTCAAGAGTTATCACTCCAAATTGTTTATTTGTGTATGCCTCAAATGGACAAACAAAGAATATTGTTTTCTCAAATGTGTTAGATTAATAAAGAATATGGAAAAAATAAATGATTTTTATTGCATTTTTGTGTTGGTGCTACGAAGCGCACAGGGATCAGCTATTAATTATTATAAAACTAATAATTTTAACTGTACAACCTACGTGCTATTATTTTCGTTTGAAAATTCACGTCGTTTATTTAAGGAATGTTAATAGGGAACAGAAAAAAGAAAGAAGGAAAATAATAAACATCTGATTTAAGAATTTCATTTAGAGAAAGCAATAACTGCACACGGGCGAAGCCGGATTATTCAGCTAGTTTATTTATAATGTTATCTGTATATGATAAAATTTTCAAAATATTTTGTCTAGACTTAATTTATTGGTTGATACCGAGTTGCGGTCGAGATTATAACAGGTAAAAAAAAAATCCGAGTTGCGGTCGGGATCAAAACAAGTAAAATATCAAAATAAGTAAAAATCCTAGTTGCGGTAAAAAAATATGATTAATAATTATTATGTTTTAAATATTGACAAAGTTACATATTATTATGCTAAATACAAAAATGAAACAGTCAAAATACGTTACGTCAAAATACAAATTTATAGTTAGTTTTACATTAGTAAAAATCCTAGTTGCGGTAAAAAATATGATTAATAATTATTATGTTTTAAATATTGACAAAGTTCCATATTATTTATTATATATTATCCTATTATGCTAAATACAAAAATGAAACGGTCAAAATTTTGGCAACATATTCCATGCTCAATTGTGTTGCTAAAAAAGGATACTGATATAGGTACTAAATACTGCTTCACCGTTGGATCGTGAAATTATTGACGTGAAAATTGGATAAGAGCATCGGATAATCGATAACCGGATACTGACCGCAATTAAGACGTTAATTTTAGCTTCAATATTATTAAGACCGCAATTCGTCTATTGCGACCGCAACTCGGACAATATTTGGAATTTCATATTATTTTGGTTTATTTTTTCTATAAATGTCAATAAATATTGTATTGTTTAGTATATTAATTGATCAAATAAACATAATACGTGTAAATTTAAAGTTTCAACGGTATTTTGTTTTTGAATTACAACAAAATAGGAAAATCGCTACAAGAGAAATCGAGTGAATTTCCAATGTTGTTAAAATTTTAACTTCAAACGCTTATAAAAATTTAATTTGACCATCCGGTAGATATTTTTTTTTTTTTTGATGAAAGTAGACAAACTTATAAGGAATCTTAAACTATTATGAACAATTATTCTTGATTCACTCTCAATTTTTTTTTTTAATTTGCACTAACAACAAATTATACCCAACTTTGAATTACATATTAAACAAATTTTTTTGACCGAGTGAAACATTTTTATCGACATAAGTTTAAAAAAAAAAAACAAATAATAATTGAAAATTTCATAAGTCTATGAATAGTTCGGGTCGCGTCACACTATAGCGGTTATTGTGTATATAAAATACTAACCCAAGTATTCAGTGAGAATTTTAAGTATTTAAGGTAATTTTTTTAGAGTTACACTAAAAGCCAAAATCGATTTTTTCGAAAACTGGTTATGCGTAAAATGTCCTGTTTTTCCTTAATTTTTTATTTGTCTTTAATGTTGCTTTTGATAACTATTGGGAATTTTAAATTTTTACCTTCTGAATGCAATAAAGAGATTCACTTTTTTACCAGAAAAGTTGCTGTTGAAGAAAACGAAGCACTTTTACTGCAAGAACCGGTGATGACAGACACAAAAAAAGAACAAATAAATAAATAAAAAACAAACATCATTGTAAAATCAATACACTTATCACTCCACTCAGAATCTAAAATTGCAATGAAAATTAAGAATTCCAATAATAAATAATAACTGATCAACAATACTCACGTTTGATTAACTCAATTCCACATTTCTACTGAGCCGCGAACTCAGTGTGACCGCGTACAACTGAACTAATAACAAAATTATTATAATAATAATATTAATAATATTTACTATAATTATTATCGTAAATATTAGAAGTAGTAGTTAAGACTCTCGCTGTAGTGTAGTTTCTTGTGAGATATCTTTACTATTCATACAGTCGTATGCGACTGTCGCCGTCGCTCACTCACTCCGCACTCGCAGTTCGCACTCGTACTCACTCACACACACACTTATAAACTCGCGCGCGCCGCTCTCACCCGGTTGAATTTATCTATACGATTATGTTTTTAACTTGTTGTGGTGTATATTTTGTGTCAACCACAAAAAGGATCATGTCATCTGAATTGTTATTTAAATGGAAAACCGACTATAATTGATGCTTTGAATGATGAAAAGTGACATCTAAATAATATTTATTTTACTGAAATGTGATTACCAAGAATTGGATACAAGAAAAATACCTACATTCCTCTTCATACGAAATTTCCCTGTCACCATGGTATAACATCTTAAAAAATAAAAAGGAATGTTTCATTGCATAACCACGTATATGCGCTTGTTTCACTACCTAGTTCATTGACCAATGCTGTGTATATAGTAGGTATTATAATCCTAAATATAATGCTAGAATAATACGATTTCAGATACAACATCAGATTACATAGTAGTTGATTATAATGGTATGTATTAGATACTCAATTATTAATACAATATCAAATATCATACATCGTAGCTGTAGTTAATCTAGTTAATGAATAGACCACTAGATGAAATACCATAATCTGTTAAATATTTTCTTACCAAAATCCCAATCAAAAATATCCTACAACTCTTAATTAATTTAATTATTATAATATTAGTCAAAAATCTATTTTGGGTGCAAATCATTGTATGAATACAAAAACAAATAACCCTTGTTATTATTGAATTTAATTGGTTCTATATTTTATACGTTAGAGCCAAATTGTAAGTATTTACATTGTTTTTTTTTTGTAAAATCAAGTTATATTATTATATTAATTGATTTTAGAATGCAGTTCGTTGTAGTGCTATAACAATTTACAGATTACTGTCGCCGCCGCGACAATAGCGCTGTAGACATCCCACCGACCACCACACACACACACACACACACACACACACAGAACTCATTAGTGAATTATTTATATTGTTTTATTTTTGTTATAATTATGTTGTGTGTGAATTATTAGGTAATATACGTAGATTAAGTCCGCGCGTATCAGTCGCCGCTGGATCGTCGATGTACGACTTTTTGCACAGCCGCCGTACGTATTGTCAGTTGTTTTTTATCCGTTGTTACGTGTCAACGCGAAAACAATTATTATAATTTGTAGGCGCAAATCGCCAACCTTACTTTATTATACTTGTTAGCGCTGTCGAGCTCTTGCGAACAGTTGACCCGACAACTCGCACCGTACAACGGTTGTTACCACTTACAATATTAATGAGTAAAAAACAATAATAATACCGTGTATGAATTGTTACTACAGAATATTGTATTGATCGTTGCAAATAAACAATAATAATAATACAAATATATTAATGAGGACGTCTCCTGCTAATAATAATTAAATAATACGAAAAAGGGTAATACAAAATACACAAAATATAATAATATAATATACAAAAAATAGATCGAAACCGAACTTATCACTGCTCAAGTACTTATCAAGTTGTTGTACCGGGACGCGCTAATGGACAGCTGACGGAGCGGCCGTTGACCTATATTCGTTGTATTTATAAACACGGCCGACGTTCGCGGTGGCAGCGAGTGACCGTGGTGGCGGCGGAGAGAGGCGGTGTGAACGCCAGCTTATGCAGCGGCGGAAAGTGACGGAGTCGACACCGGCCTATGTGCACCTCCAACTAACCCACGATACGAGTCGCACCCTACGAATCACTCACCTGCATTGCACACGACGACGCACACGGTATGAATGGTATGATGTGTCCAGCGATGGGAAAAAATGTCAATTCGACGAACTGTGCAAACGAAACTTGTTTTTTCGTATTGCTGCTGTGGGTTTCAACGACGTCGTAAGACGCGAGACGCAAAAGCCTATAGAAACCACAACACTACAGCAGCTTGCGGCAGACTGACTCGTTGTTTCGTACACAGGCTTGACCAGCAAAAAGGCCGGCCGGTTATAACGGACAATGCGCGACAATGAGCGATAATGAGCTATATCGGCAGCTTCTAGAACATTCCTTGTTCGCCACGCGCCCACGCAGACCGGTACGGGGAAAAAAGGCGGAGGTTTGAACAATACTTAGTAGGCGCAAATCGCCAAATTCATTTTATTTTGTGGGCGCCAATCGCCACTTGTATTATTTATTTTGTATTGTGTTTTTCGCCGGTTTTTATAATTTTTATATTTGTTTATTTTCATGTTTGTACGCTCTAATCGCCGGTTGTTGTTATTTATTATTATTGTGTGTGTGTGTGTGAATTACCATTTTTTGTAGGCATAGGTAGCGGCTGGCCAGCCGTTCACCGTCATATTTGTGAATTTTATATTTTTATTACAACTATACTTATATTTTATTGGTGAGCCAAACAGGCATTATATTATACTACATTGTATTTATATAAGCGCCACTCGTGTATACCGAATATTAAACTATATTGGGCCAGAAGGGCCATTTATATTTTGTGAATTATTTATTGTATATTATACAGCAACCTATACTTACCAGCAACCGTGTTACCCTTTTATTTAATTGTCCCACCATTAGTTTTAAGCACACACCCACAAATATACACATCTACACACATCACCACACACTAGCACTATCTAATCTTGCTCGGCGACCCCGTCCACTTCTTTAGAGTTGCTATACATATAAACACACAAATACACAGGTCGGTCGGTGTGTAGCGCTACGAAGTATTTTGGTGACCGGGCGTCGCGGACTATTATTGTTCGTTCCCGGCCAGTACAGATTACTGTA